ACCGGAAGACTTTGGATCAGTTTCATGAGGAGATCCGTTTTGATCAACTCGTACACCAATTGGGAGCGGATTTTCTCGGACTCCGGCTCTGAACTGATTGATCCGTAGATGACTTCCTTGAGTTGTGTCAACAGTTTGCAGATATTGTCGTTTCGGTTAATATCTGCGAAATATGACAACAATTGCTGCAGAAGTGTCTTATCGTTGGTCTCTAAGCCGGATAACTGTGTTCTATAGCTCAAAGAGAGAGAATTTAATTATCTTTCAAATGGTGTATCACTCGTTAAGGTCGGAATTATACGTCTTGAATTATTGTTAAATTTATTAAATTAATATTAATCACAGTTACATAATTGGATTCAATGGCATAACTCAACATTTATGTAAATTTAATTATATTAATAATAAATCAAGAAATATAATTCCGACCTTAACGAATGATACGCCATTTGAAAGGAAATTAAATTCTCTCTCTTTGAGCTATAGAACACTTTTACCTAGCTACTATTTTATTGTCATTAATTATTGATTGAAAATTTCCCATTGATATTTCCATAGAGATTCATGATTTTCAAAAGTTATTTGTGACTGAACCATATGTCGCAGCTGAGAGATCTCGATGCCATATGAAAGTTCATACCTTCCTCTATAAAATTGCTATAGATTGTATTTATCACTACTATTTTATTGTTATTAATTATTGATTGAAAATTTTCCATTGAGATTTCCATAGAGATTCATGATTTTCAAAAGTTATTTGTGACTGAACCATATGTCGCAGCTGAGAGATCTCGATGCCATATGAAAGTTCATACCTTCCTCTATAAAATTGCTATAGATTGTATTTATCTTGCTTATTTTGTTCATACTGTAACTCATGTCTGCAAGAGTGTCCATAGAAATAACATTAATATATGTCGCACCTGGGTTATCAGTATGTCAAAAAATTTGCTATACTTTCTAGTTTTAGAAAACGTCGAGTGTACCTTGCTATCTAGTTTAGTTTTTGAGATATTGCAATTAAAAGGCGGAGGTCTATGGTGAAAGACACTGTATAATAACTTAATTATTAAATATACAGTATATTGAATTTTAATACAGTATACACATTTTAATTTGTATATTTTACTGGGAGGTTTATTGCAAATCTAAATACTAAAGTATTTCTGTAAAAGTTTTTAATTCTGAGCAATCAAGTTTATTCAACTTCTTTTGGTCCTTAAAGGAATATTTAATTAAGTCTTATTTTTTTGCTATTAGTTTCAATGTCGTAAATCACGATTTTCTGTGACTGACCCAACACTTACACTTTAAAGTTCATTGAGCCCAAT